AGTGACAGCCCTGAGCAGATTTCTCACGCAGGTCTGCATCCCAAGGAGACAGGCTAGGATTTAAGGCACTTAACGCTGCTGCAGCGGCAGCCTGGCAGGGAGATGACAGCACAAAACCAGCCCCAGCACAACAAGGGGTCTAAAGCTCCCTCCTTTGGCACTCTTCCTAAATCTGAAATCAATGAATGTTTGTGGAAATCACCTCAGCTAGGTATTATTCAGAGGGCAGGATGTTGAGGGGGAGCTTTCCTGCTACGCTGGAGATCACGAGGAGAGGAGTAATTATCCTCTCCTGCAATATCCCAAGCGCTAGGAAAGAAAGTGCTCTCGTTTCCCGTGGAGCCGCAGGAAGAATTAAAGGCGCACGGGGAGCACAGCTTGCAACTCTCCTCATCACAGCAGGAGCCAACCCACACCAAGCACAGCTCTTGTCTGTGCTCTCCCTCTGCACCACGAGGACGGGGAAAGCCCGATGGGGAGAAGAAAGGACTCTCGCTTTGAATTTCTGCACAGATTAGCCGAGTTGTACAGGCCAAGTGCAGTAAGTTGCCAATTAGTCTTTGTCCAGTTTGCAACCTTCCCTCCCTGGGTATTTTCCCCTTAGTAAAAATATATTCCCCTCCTTTCTACCAGTTTGACACAGACTCATCAAGCAGAATATTTGGCCTTGCCATGACAGGCCTCCAAAAATACAGTTGCTGCAGGGGACGCTGCCCAGCACTCACATTTGTTATTCTGTTCCTCAGTCTGTCTCCGAGTTTTCTGTTAAAGCCTCAGAAACTGGTCACACTGTGACAGAACACATTCTGCAGAAAGGACTGCAAAGCCTCCAAGCTGATTTCCAATACAAAATCAGACTTTTTCATTGGATTTTCCATTCCTGTCCCTCAAAATAAAACATCTTATTTAAAACTCTATCTCATTGTCTTGATATTTCAGCTGCTGTAAATAGCCCCTTCCAGGCAGCAGAAAAGGTCCTTTGCATAATCCTAGCCTGGAGAAGGCACCACCAGAAAACTTTCTAAAAGTACTTCTAAAACTACTGGAAAAGTATTGAATACCCTGGGCAAGCGAAGCTCAAACTAAAAGCTGGCACATGAACAAAAGAAGAGAGTTATAATTCAAGTTAATTTGTTATGAAAAACAGGGACCATCTACTTGATAGGGAATCCATAATAAATGCAAGACATTAGTTGTCATGGGTATTACCTTGGTCATGAATTATTTGCTAGTTCTGGCAGACATACAATCTTATTTTTCTGTATGGTGTTCGCTTTCCATTTATTATATGCAAGGCACCAAAGAACTAAAAACAAACAAACAAACAAACAAAAACAGGAATAAGCTATAACAAAACTGTGCCCTTGCTGTATTATTTGGAGTCTATGCAGGCAGTAGACTGGGAATAGAAAAAGGAAGAGGGAGATGGTGGGAAAAGCACAGACAGAGGACACAAAGAGGAAGCAGAGAAGCACGCAGTAAAGCAGGGACAGGGCAAGGGACGGGCTGTCCCCAGGCAGGGCCATGCCAAGTGCCAGCAGCAAAGCCTGTGGCACAGGGTGCTCCCCTGCCCCGCAGGGCCAGGCACCAGCAGAACCTTTGGTGCAGAGGAACAGCTCGAGGAAACCACGCAGAGCCACGAGGTCCTTCCCAGCTGCACCTCACCACAAGCTCCAGCGAGGCTGGGGCTCACTCAGGATGCTCCTACCTGCATCAGGAGCCTGTTCTCTAATCACTGCTGAAGCCTGTTACACAGCCAAACATCTTCTCACAGAGGTAATAAAATGGTGATAAGAACAGTCTGGCCTTTCAGCCATTCCATTTTTTTCTGTTATTTGAATTACTACTATTAATTAAATCATCAATAAACAACTGGCAGGAAATAATCTTTCCCAGGCTAATTGCTGCAAGATGAAACATGGTCAAATGGAAGCAGAGCAGGAGCAGCGCAGGACAGGACTCGCCCCGACGTGCAGGCCCCAAGGAGTCCATCCCGCAGCAAGCACAGAACGAGGTGAGCGCTGCACCGCCTCGAGCTGCAACGGGGCAGCAGCCCTTCCCGCAGGGCTCACAGCTGGCCCGGCAGCCACCTCTAGGTGCTGAGCCATCGTCCCCTGCGCCCAGCCGCACTAGTGCTGCTCCCCGACACGCAGCCCCAAAATGGAGACTCCCGGGTTTGCCAGCACCGGCCCTCCAGGCAGCTAGGAGCACGCGGACACACGCACACAGCAACAGCGCCAGGGAAGCAGTTTCACGCGTTTCCAACTTGCACGATAAAATTGGAGGTGAACACAGCTGGTGTGTGAAGCGAGGAAGAGGAGGTGGGTAAAAGCGGGGGGAAGAGCAAGGAGGTGCGAAGAGTGAAACTGGAGAAGAGGAGAGGGAAGGAAAGGAACCCGCCTGAACTAAACTGTGAAAGGGATCCTGGGGAGGGTTTGCTCCCGAGGACACAGGAATGAGCCGATGCCAGTAGAGCTGAGAGACAGAAGTGGGGAAAAGAAGATTCAGCACCGTAACAGTTCTGACACCAAAAACAACAACAAAAAAGAAGGGGTGGGGGGTACAAATACTAAATACTAAAAAGCAAATGCAACCAGGGCCGCAGCAGAGGAGAAGCCCGGTTCCTTAACTTCAATGGCAGTGACTTTTGGTCGCCTTACTTCATGGAGGATTGAGGCTTTTCCCACACATATGTCACACATCTAACTGCCCCCCTCTAACACCTGGCCTCTCCAGCTCATCTCTGTGCGCTCACCAGTAGGACCAGGCTCCAGATATCCCAGTACCTTTGCAGACCCCAGCGTGTGCTCAGCTGGGTTAAGCTTTGGGAACCTCCACTGGAAAGAGCCTTGCAAGCCCAGCTCTGCTGGTGCTGCAAGGGATCCTCCTTGCAGGACTCCCGCCACCAAAGGCGCCATACGTGAGCTTCTGCAGTCCGGTACTGCTGCAGTTTGGAGCAGTAGCAGCTCACCTAATACTGTATGTGGTTGGCATTAATTCCCGATGTGTACCTCACACCTACAGAAGTCACTGGGTGAATACCAGCCCGGATTCAGCAGCAGGTCATGCCAATTCTCTGCCTGACCTCAAGCCAGTCGGGCGAGACAGCTCCCCGGGAGCCCATCCTGCGGTGCTAACACGTGGCCAGGCAGGCTGCGCGGTGGCTCTGCTCGGAGGCCCGGCAGCTCCGGGCCGCATGGCCTCCAGCTGTGCTCGGAGCCACCCTGCAGCTGCTGCTGCCGCGAGCAGCTCCCTTACGGAGCAGGCTGCCACGGGCCTCTCTGCACCTCAGCTTCCTTGTAAAACTAAACCCCTTGAGACAGGGAGGTTTCCTTTATCAAACATCCTAGGGAAACAACGCTGCAGAAATGCTGACTGCACCCATAGGCAGCCTTTCAAGTGCACTTCAAAATGCAGCATCGTTTCCTGCACTTACTGAGCATTCGTCCAGAGCAGCAACAAGACAGACAATTTCTGTTTTGCACTGCACTAGTTCAAAGCCATCTTCTGCAGAGACTGTAACACAGAGGAGGCTTCAGGCATAACTTTTCCAACCAAGAGATTTTATCCTCTGTCCCATTTGCTTTGAGATTCCATCTCTTTTTTGCAGCTGCCCGAAAACATCCTGGGTATGTATCATACTAATAAAATGCTAATCTGCTGTAATTGAAATATTTTTCAAGTGCACATAATGAGGCAATAAGGAAGATTAATTTACAAAAGGTCACTGCAGCCAACATGAACCTCAACCTGGAGATCATAAATACTCTGGCAAAGCCAGAGGGAAAGAGACCTTGGGCAGCCTGCAGTGCCCTGCAGGCTCAGGCAACGCGCGAGTGCCAGAACACACAAGCTGGACGGAGACTTCAGCTGCGCTCCACGGAACGTCGCCCGCAGCAGCTGTCGGCACCGCTCTGGCTTCACAGGAAGCAGCATTTCATAGCGACTGCACATCCGTGCCCAGAGCGGCTCTGGAGTGTCCCTGGCAAAGGGACACGCGTGGGGGAGTGCCAAGCAGGGGGAGCGGGCAAGAGCTCCGAGCAGAAGCTGGCAGACGCACGAGCTGCGGAGGTGGCAGGTTGTGATGTCCCTCCCTACCCACCACGGAGCGAGTAGCTTTCAGCATTCAGCCAGAGAGGAATGAAAGCAGGAATTCAAAACCGGCTGCGGCATCACATGCTAATTCCGTGCTCTGAAGTCATCCATTTTACCAGGAGACTTGCTCAGTCTCAGGAAGGCTGAAACAGCTCTTCGGGGGGCAGAGCAGCAGCCACTGGTCACGGCGCCAGCCTCCACGCGGCTCCTGCCGACACCTCTGTGCACGGACAGGCACGTCCCCGCCGCGGCGGCTGCACACCCGCTGCCAGAGCAGGGGGACCTGCCCCGCTTCGCTCCAGCGCAGAGACCTGCAGCTGCCCCATCTACACGTTCTGCCTCCCCGGGCCAGCCGCTCAGTTCCAACAGCCTCCCTGGTCCTCATGTTGGGAGCCCAAAGCTGGAAAAATCCAAACCAAAAAAACCCACTACAGTCACACATACCCAAGCCCACTTGTTTGTAAACGCATTCTTAGCTTTGCATAGGAGAAAACTGCCTTTTATTTTATTTTCTTTCCTTTTTTATTTTTCTTTTCTTTTTCTCTTTGGTGAAAATTAAAGAATGCCCAAGAGATTCAGGGGAGGTTTTTCAAGCCTAGGATATACCTTTTTAAGGCCAGCTTCCCTTAACACTGCTCTGGAAGGCCATTTACATCTTTATTTTTAATTCTCACACCTTAAATTGAAGGATAATGAGTCTTTACCAAACGAGAGACATCTGCTTCCTTTCACTAAAGTGCATATTATTCAGTTAAAGTAGAAAAAAAAAACAGGGCAAAAGAATCCAAACAAATGTAAGCACCCTTCTCATCTTGCTCCTGATTCTCTGCTGCAGCCATTTCACTCTGGTTCTTAGATGCACAGGATACAGGAAATTGAAATTTAACATATTAAGCAGAGTCTCCTCTTATTTTAAAGCTCTAGATACCTTTTTCCTTACACTTTGCACCCACCCTTACATAAAGCAGAAGCAAATCCAGTCAGGATCTCCCTGGCATTTTCATATGTACAGAAAGGACTGACCACTCGTGCACAGATTATTCTTGACGCCGCTTTAGATGGTGCCCACTTTTCTGCTGGAGCACGATGCCTTCAGTGAGGTTCTGCAAAAAAAATCCAGTGAAGTTAAAAATCTTTTTACTTTTTAATGGAAAAAAGCACCTTTTTTCCTCTTTGTTTTCTGCAATTCTCAAAAGCAATTTTCAGTAGAAAAATACACATTACTGTCCAAAAAAACGGATAAAAATTCCTAGGCTGCCATCACACTCTCTCCTCTGCCCTGCACATGCTAAGGTTATCCTGGCAAGCGCAGCTTTGCGCCTGCACTGCCCAGGCCCATGGCAGGAGCGCGCAGCACTGCAGCGCAGCAGCCTCTGCCCACGCGGCCCCGCGCGGGAGCTGCTGCGGCCACATCCAGCACAGCCCAGGAAACGCTCTCAGGCTCCCTGCCCAGGGACAGGGTAGAACCTCATCACTAATTATGGAAGATTTGCTTTACCTGCTCTCCAAATCTACAAAAAGAAGAAGAAAAAGGTATTAACCAACAGGATAGCACTATTATTTCCTATGGCACATGTGTCTTTGCTTAAGTAAAATATTCTTTAGGGAATGCTTAAAAATGTTGCACATAAAATGGTTGAGAACATTCAGACTGAGCTGTCTTTCGCTCCATTTTCTTTTTAAAACATCCGCATTGAACCCATTTAAAATTTTTCCTCCTGATAGATCTACCCTTTATAAAGAAATGAAGCATTAAAACGCCCTGGGAAACTCTGCCCTTGCTCAGCCAGGGTACCGGATCCCTGGAGCAATCTGACTCGAAGGCTGTTCCACACACCTTGATATCCAGAGCCTTCCATCCTCCCGCGGAGGCCGGTCGAGCATTCCCTGACGCGGACGGGCTCGGGGCAGCTCGGAGGGTGCCCGTGGTCACCACACCGATGCACGTGGCCCTCATGGCACAGGGCTCACCTCTCACACGATCACATCAGCTGCTGCCTTCAGGTGCAAGGGGACCTCTCAGCAGCAGCTGCTAATTCTTGCAGCTGTAATTTGACAAAAACTAATTGCACTTAGGAGTAACTGAAACCTTAACAAAATGGTACTTATACAGAAAAACTGCTCAGTTAAAACACAGCAAGTTAGGGCACTTGCATATCACACACGGTAGGTACAGACATAAATCCCCAGCTAGGTCTGAATTTCAAATTATTGCACATACTTCAACCCATAGAAGGGGCCATTTAAAGTAGAAGAATTAGAAGGAAAGGGATACAAATATTGGAAAAGCTCTGGGAAATCAAAGCCGTGGAGGCTGGAAACCGTCCTCCCCAGAATGGCTCCAGGAGAGACCGTGATGCTTACATGCTACTCAAAATCAAAACATTTTGTTTGGAATAATGACAAAACAAGATCTTTTTAAATTTTTTCAGCAAGAAAATTCTTCAAGAAATTTGTTCACCATTGATCTAGCCCGATTTGTTTGTTTTTATGCCAATTCCCCTAAATCAATTCCTCCTGCAGCTTCAGATGGGACTGTACCAAGGAAGGCACAGACACAGTCCTAGCCAAAAGGGGACTGCGTTTGTTCTCCCGCATGCTGGCACGCTCCGGCTGTCACAAATAAGGAGCAGATGGACGTGTGGATCGCACTGGATAGAACTCAAAATAGATTTTTAGCTATCCAAGACACTATAGTCCCTGGAGGCTCTCAATTACATGTAAAAAATTGTAATGTTCCAGTTGAATTCTATAAATATACCATCTTTATTGACAAGTAAATGCAGTTTATATCTATATTTAGCTCATATTCACATTCAGAGTGACTGCTGCTGTATTTTATGTGACAACAGGGCAACTATTGTGTTTGACCGTGCACAGGGATAGACGAGTCACAAAACAAACCTAATAGAGGTTATATGGACAGTTAGAGATTCATCACACACATACACAAGGTAATTATTCAGGAGAAAAAAAAAAAAAAACAGATCATCTACGAAGCCAGATTCCTGGTTAATTACATTACATGTACTACTCGCCTGGCAAACTAATGACCCAGTGAATCAGATCTGCGACTTGCTGAATCAGATCTATTACCCACCAAATCAGATACATCATCTCTTCAAATAGAAGCATAATTTCTTAAACCAGAGGCAATATATTGCCTTATATGTTATACAACGTGATGAGCTATAGTAGATCTATACTAGCTGAACTGAATATCCCAGAAGCCAAAAGCTGAGTTATCAACCAATAGCTAAAAAAGCAAAGATGCTTCTCTGTAAGCAGGGAAAAACCACATCAAATTTGGAGGGCACTAATGCCCCAAGCATGCGGTGAGCTCACCCTGTGGGCACGGGAACTATGAGCACCTCAACAAATTACAGAAAAAGCTTCGAAAATGATTTATGGTCTGGAAAAAAAAAATAGCTTTATTAATGAGACACCAGGAAGCCGAATCCATTTTGTTGTTCCAAAAGACAGCTAAGAAACTAAAACATGTTTAATAAGGGGAATTTCAGGGTGCAGAAAGGTATTTGACAAGGACAGAACAACATCCGGAGGCTGAAACCCAGAAATAATGCACAAACCTTTAAAAATTAAACTAAGGAACATGTGGAACTGTGCTATTAAAGATACAGCTATTTGTCATCGGTTGATGTCTTTAGTTCAAGGGTGGAAGTTTGAGAGCTCCATTCTGGACTAACCCAAGGTTGTGTGCTAGGAAGGACAGTGGCAGAAACACTACGGCCACGCATCTTAGCACAGGGTGGGGGAAATCCCTGTATGTTTAAGATGTCAGGAGTGGCGTAAACACTCCTGTGGTACCTATGGTTTGGATTTCCTTAGAGGACGCAAGGAGCCACCTCTTGCAAGGGTCGTCTGTCCCCACGGGCAGCTCTTGGCGCCCGGGGCAGCTGCGCAGCACGGTGCCTGGGGAGGTTAACGCCGCAGCTGCTGCCGCACTGCGCTCCCTCGGAGCTGGGGGCTCCACACGCGCTGGAAAACGGGAGCACGCTGGAGCCTCCAGCGCCTCGCGGCACCGGCGCAGGCCTGGGGCGCTGCCGACCCCGCAGAACCACGAAGGGCTTGGCGGGCTGCGGACTGCGCCTGGCTGGCGAGCGCCCGCACCCCGACACGCAGAGCCACCGTGTTCGTGTGCCCTGCTGCGCCGGGAGAAACAAAGCGTTCCCGAGCGCTACGAAACTGCCACGGGGGACAACCGCCGCCAGAAGCAGTTACGAACTCGAGGTCCTCGTAACGATTTACATCGAGTCACAACGCATTACATCCACGCGATGGCACAGAGGCAGCGCTAATGATAGCGGAGTCTGTCAGCGTGCAAGATGCTGTGAGACTTTGTGAATTAAACCCCATTATTGGTCTAAATTATAGATAAATTTCTCCCTTTACTTGGTGATATGCAACATATTTTTTCTTCGGGGGAGTTAGATCATGTCAGCACAAATTACTGCTTTCCACACAGTGCAGATGATAGAACCAGAGGCACTAAAAGAGCTGATGAAAACCAAATACGAATAGACAGAAGGAACTGCTTCCCTTGACATGGAAATAACCAATTTTGTGGTGGTATGATGGGTGAAGCAAAGAGGAGGATTGCGGTTTGGGACACTGAAACAGCTTTAAGAGATTCAGATAATTGAAAAGCAAAATTCAAGTTCAATTCTTGCTCTAGATTACAAAAAAAGCAATAAAAGTGTCTGTCTTCCAGGGCTCATCCCCCTCTATTGAGCATATACTGATGTGCAACACAGATAACAGGATTCTGGTTTCTGGTGAACTGGGGAGCTTTGGTTTTGCCTTGGAAAACAAATGAGAATACATGTTATCTAGAAAGGTTTTATAGATGATTTCCTATTCTTTCTGTTTTTCCTGAAGGACCTATGTTCAAGAAAGCAGAGAGCAAAGGCTGGAGATTACTTGCCTGGGAAGGGTTCACAAGCTCCATCCAAGGCCGGGGTTGCAAGAGACAGTAGTATCTTTTACTAGATCAAGTGATATAATCAGGAAAAGAAAGCAGACAAGCTTTCAGGCATATGGCTCTACAAAATTCTTTGTTACTCGATATACAGATAATTAATTTGCAAAGCCAAGCACAGGGAATTAGTTCATTATCCCGCATAATTTTCCATTATTACCGTCATTTCATTCTTGCCCCCTGTGCACTGGCAGCCGGCTCCACGTTGCCATCTGCCGGCTCTCTGCTTCCTGCTGCAGGATTTTTACCGGCGAGGCGGCCGCTGCCCCGGCCCCCGCAGCCTTCTAGGAGCTGCGTCCCCGAAAGCGGCGCTCAGCCCCGACGCACGGCCGGTCTCTGCCCGCCCTGCCCGGAGCACAGTGACACCGGCAACTCCCCATGCCCTGGGCAGCCAGCCTGGCCACGCTTCCTCACCCTTAACATGCTCCATTTTGAACCGTGCGGAGAGATCAAACACGTGCAATGTGCTAAACACTTTCCAAGTAGCAGCCAGTGCTGTCCTTGCCCCAGAGGAGGCCCGGCATTAAAAGCACATGAGGCTTTCAGCTCTGTCTCACCAAAAACAGGACCAGAGAACCTATGCTACGAATTTCTGTGCTTCCAACTGCTGCCTGGTTTGCCCATTTCAGGTGAGGGGAGCTTTTCTGCTGGGCTAACACTGGCTCCAAAGTGACCCAGCTCTGGCGATGGCACCGGTGACACAGACCAGCTCCAGAAGAGCTTTCTGTTAAACCTGAATGTGAAGTTGGATTTTAGTTTCCTTTTTCAGAAGGAAAAGGAATCTCACTGAAAACCTTCAGCACTGCACTGCGAGTCTGGGCACTGTGGGAGCCTGCAAACTGGGAGTGGGAAGTGCAGCCAGTCCCCAGCCCTCTAATGGGCTTGTGCCAGCCCTTAATGTGATTTTAATGATCCTT